AATACAAGAGCCGGGATTAGAACCCAGATCTTCTGACTCATGGTCTAGAACTCTTCCACCACACACCCTGCCTCTGTGTGAATCCATGTAATGATAAGCTTGACTTGGTGATGGTTACCTGTGCTTGAGATATTGCTCTGCTGTTTATTCATGTCTCGTATGTTGTTGGCATATCTGCCTGTCACATTAAAGTCTAACTATGTTTTAGGTTTCCAGAGGAAAAGGATCAACATACAGACTTAGGCGGTAACTCTAAACTGTACTTTCTTATGTGTTTCTAGAAGATTTTAAGCCGCAATTTACTTAAGCACTAAATCCAAACACGCTCTTACAGTTGCCATCTCTCACTGCTGATGAACACTCTACAATGCTGAAGCGAGTACAGACATGCGCTCATGGCTTCCATTTGCCCGTGCATATCCACTCCTCATCTTTTCCACCCTGCTCTGAGCCCCGATTCACCCGTATGCACCAATTTTCTCCACGATTCCCTTGCCACCTGGGTTCCATCTGGGTTCACCCAGTGGAGTCCAGCAGGAGATCAGAGGCAGGGAGGAGAGTGAAGCTTGGCTATTTATCCCCGACTCCCTCCCAGATTGGCTGTGGCCCACGCCTGAGGTTCCTGGTTCTTATCAGGGGGTCTCTGCATATAGCTCTCGGACCCTTTATGCACAAATTCAGTCTCAGGGTGGTGACCGTGGTAAACCTGCCCAGAATGTGGCCACAAATTCTCTGACATTCCTATCATCAAGATGTGGGGTCTATGTCCTCTCCCCTTGAAAGTGGGTGGGCTCTGCGACTACCAGGAACAATAAAACATGGCAGAAGTGACACTGTTTCAGTGCACAGACTGGCAGCTTCCACCTAGGGATGCTAAGGCAGAACTGTTCTGGGAGACGCAGGCCTCCTCTGAAGGCCTTTCTCACACTGCACAGAAGTCTCGGACACTCTGGCCAACCTCTCCCCCCTCCCTTCACCCGGGGTCAGGTTTGCATTGCAGTCTGACAGCTCCCCCAGCCTTCCCCACCTTGCTTCCTATTTTCTCTCTCACAAGCACTTCCCCTAATAAAATCCTTGCACATTTAATCCTACCCTGGCATCCTCTCCTCTGAGGACCCAGACTAATACAACTAATACAGCCTTGAAAACTGAGCTTTGATATAAAATATATAAAGACAGTAGAACTAGCTTTTGCTGAATAAGGGCAGCCCCATGAATCTAAGGTCATAAATAACCAGTCTTATATTGGGTTGGCCAAAAAGTTCATTTGGGTTTTTCCATAACATCTTACAGAAAAGCCCGAATGAACTTTTTGGCCAACCCAATGCAATGGGATGTCTGTATGTGTGTGGCTGGATCTAATTCCTAAATGATCTATACTAACACGGTATCATTTTCTTTAATACGGCTTTTACAAAGTATGATTTTCACCTATCTCCAGAAATGTATCCTTCCCCAGATGTCCAAAATAGGTTCTCAATCCCTTGTCCAAAACCTGGAGACCATGTACATTTTGGAATTCAAACCTTTTCAGGAAAGTAATATGTACATCTGCCATAGTTGACATAACAAACCCAGCAGGTCTGGCGCAAAACTCTACAATCAAATACATTAATACAGCAAGTCCCCTACATATGAACAAGTTCTGTTCCGAGAGCACGTTCATAAGTCCAATTTGTCCGTAAGTCCAACAAAGTTAGCCTAGGTACCTAACTAACATAATCAGCTAATTATTACTGTACTATAATAGGTTTATAATACTTTTCACACAAATAATACATAAAAAACAAACACAAAAAATAAAACATTTTTAATTTTACAGTACAGTACCTTGAAAAGTATGCCAGACACGTGAACCAACTTACGTGATTGGATACGTGAACGCACATTTGCATCTTTGAAAATTCGCAACTTGCAGGTTCATATGTGAGGGACTTACTGTACTATGTCCTCCACAAAACATACAAACATTAACACAAGTGGTATAAAAATAAATAGCCTGGAGACAGTGCAGGTATGGGTTTACCACCAAAGGAGTTCAATAAAGGTTAGACTGTACTGCCATGTGAATTATTAAAACATTCAGTTTTCAGAGCTTTTTGAATGTCTGAGTGTGAATAAGGGACTGTGGGCCTATATATCCACACTAAACTATGCAGCTCTTTAAAAAAAAAAAAAAAAAAAACAGATACTCCTTTGCACCAACACAGAATAAACGGCCATCCCCCAGCGTAGGATGAAGACAGCATCGAGCAGGACTTGTGCAGAGGCAGGGTGACGTTACGCGACTCCAGAGAGGGGAAAAGAAAGGTGGAGATGATCTTCACTTGTCAAAGCCCCACGCCCACCTTTTACTGCCCTCAACCCTTTGTAACGACTTCATCTCTGGTTAAGAAATGCTGTGGAAATATTGTTTATGAGTATTGACTGTGATGTGGGAAAATTTTTAAACCTGAATTTATCTATACTATGTATGAGACAGAGAAAGTTCACCCCTGCAAACTGCCTCTGTTGATTGCAGGCAACTAAAATGTTAGACGTAAACTGGGAGCTGAGATAGTCCACAAAGGAAATTTATGTAGGGTATTAAATAAGCCTCAAGGCAAGGGACACTGAATATGAGAAATGTGGACCGGAGACGCTCCAGTAGCCCTGAGACTTCTGGGTGTCCCTTCCCAGGTCAAAGGCAAGGACGCAGGGTGTGTCTGCTCCCCCTGGGAGCTCCTCAGAAACACCCAGCCCTGCACTTCCCTCCTCCGCCCTGAGCCTATGTCCTGCCGCTCTCAAGAGGCTCTTCTCTTCATCAGCCACGTAGGGAGCTGAGAGCCAGCAGAGAGGCCGTTCACCTTCCTCCTCTGCCCTGCTTCGTCCTAAACCTCCTCATTCTAAGTGATAAAAACACAAACAATGGAAGATGAAGAGCAGGGAGCGAAATAAATTAGGAAGGAAATATTCTCCCCAGTCACTAAATAGCCCTGGGAGAAATGGTCTGCAATGGGTAAAAGTTAAGGAATCTTATTAGGGATGGGAAATTCAAATCTAGTAATTCCACTTAGTATTTTATATATTCAGTATTGACTATTTTTTCCCCCAATAAGCATGTATTAACAACTTCATGATTTTTCAATCTCATATTTTAATTATGGGCATAACTGAGAACAATGTTAGTTAACACATGTAGGTGCTGTTATTTTTCTCTAGGAGCCACTGTCTGGGAATGTACTGAGTGCCAACACTCTGCCCAGCACTTTAACAGACATCATTCCATACTTGCGCTGTTTATTCAAACCCCAGGTCTAAGGGACTGTGCTGAGCACTGGAGATTCCCCAGGAGACAAAACAGGTGTGAGGCTTACCCTCAAGAAGCAGGCAGAGCACTGTGGAGACATTACACAAGGTCCTGCACATTGAATGATTTAATTCCACTCGTGGTGAGTGCTATGAAGGAGAAGTACTCAGAGACCAGTCAGAGCCTCCTAACAGTTCTCTGAGGTGGATCTCATCCTCGATTGTAGATAAAGAGTTATCATTAATATTTGTAACATTAAGGCATGCTAATTATAATAACATAAAATGTCCTGAACAAATAATAATTACAATTATCACTATTATAATAATGACTTGGGAAATAATTTTATATCAGCCGGTCAATGAGAAAAAGGATGGGAATAAATGAGGAAGAAAGTCTAAATGCACGAGAGAGTATGTGGATAATTACTGTCAAAGAATTTCCAGGGCACCATTCTATTCCCCCATAAAGGAAAATTCCTCCATGCAGGGGCTTAGAGACCTTCAGACACCCTCCCCTCCTCCAGAACAGCAAGGTACTAACAGAAAGACAAGGTAGAAACAAACACAAGGTTTGTATTTTCCAGAGATGTGTCCCATATTTCCCAAGACAAATTTAATTTCAAAGACTTGGTTCCTTGGTTCCCATAAACCAGTGAAATAACCTGGAACCCTCAATATGTTGAAACCACAATCAAGATTACCTCCTGAACCCAGAAGTAACACAAAAATACTAGTCAGAGCAAGTACCCTGTTTGTTTGGCAAAATATTGCTACTGTGCTCAAAAGGCACTAAATGGTAAGAGTTGAACATCTTCCACCAAGACCTGCTGCTCTAAACGAGAACTCCCATCATCACCACAGCCAGGCTTCCAAGTTGCCATGATCAGGTGTTCTTGGTTTCTATAAAACGTGAGCCCATGGAAATGGAATGTCCAGATAAACAAAGGTGGGCATTCCATCAGAAGGCACGTGATACGTTGTTCCTTGCTTCTCTCCCTGCCAGGGCTTGTCAGTGCCAATAACTTGACAAGGATCCTCTGAACTAAGTACTGTATATGTGTCTTTACTTAGTGAAAAAAGAACACTCCTTAAAATTAGAATGCTAGGTCCAACGATGTCTCCTGATAGCTCACAATAGAAAAGATATCAGTTGATTTATTCCATAAAATGAGAGCATGATAAGGAATTCAGAGTGATGCTAATGAGACAGCCAACCTTTGATGGGACCTTCACTTGGCTTCACTTTAATGTTTGCTGTCACAAAGCTGTTATAATAAAAAACTATGTTCTGTTAAGTAGATGGCAGCTCCAGGGCACTTGTGCCACCAGTGCCCCTCTCCACGTCCACAGGAAGCCTCACACTCTCTATGACAGACCTCTTAAGCTCAGAGGACAGCTTCACAGAGAGTTCCAAGTAGCCACTACCTATGAACTCAAGTAGACGCAAGAGCCAGTCCAGTTGCCAATGCTTGTTTAGACTCCCTTACTTGACATTCACAATGTCCTGTTCTATGACATCAAATGGATCCCATCAGACTTAAGCTGTTGCCGTCATTAAGACCTGTAATTGATACTGGTAAGGAATATGGATGAAATGAGAAGGAGAATAAGGCTAAAGTCGCCATCAAGTCAGTTACACTGTGTTCGCCTTCCTCAGTTTCCATCAGTTGTACTAGAAACAGGTAAGATTACATCAGCCAATCACTGACCTTATGGAGAGCTGGAGCCAAGACTGGTACCAAGAATCCATTGTAAATATAACTGACGAGCTGATTACGAATCAAGGGGTGAGCCACCTAAGAGAGAAACAGTAGTCATGAAAAAGATAAGGAGCGCCATCTTTAGGTCTTCTTAAAATCAACAATTTCTGTGTACATCCTGAATTCAAGGAGGAAATCCAAATTTTGGCCATTTATTCCACGGTTAAAGAAAAACTCACACTTCAAACCAACATGTAATTTTTCCAGATGGTTTATCCCATTATAAACAGCCTGGACTTTCAAATTTTAAAACGGGTAGTTTTAAGTTTCTATCTGAAAAAACAATAATAAACAGACTGATTATGTATAGGGACTCATAAATTAAAGTCGACAAACTGGAAAGTATAATTTTTGCTCCATAACTTCGTCTATGTCCTATCTCAACCTGTGACTAATTAAAAAAATAATAAGAACTGTCAAAATAGACAATTAAAAACATTCATTTTGGTAGCAGAAAAAAAATTCTCATTTTGAAAATGCATTTTCTGATAATCATTTATATTGGGGAAGAAAGCATTTAGAAAATTTTTTCATAAAAAAGATACTGTTAAAAAGCAGAAAACATTATCAGAAGTACAACACTTTCTATATTTAATTTTCGAAATATATTTAGCATGGATAAGCCTTACTAATATCTTTTATAATTACAACCATCCCTGGGTGTCTGTAGGGAACTGGTTCCTGGATGCCCACCCCCACCAGGATACCAAAGTCGGCAGATGTTTAAGTCCCTTATATAAAGTGGCACAGTATTTGCATATAATCTACACACATCTTCCCATATACTGTAAATCATCTCTAAATTACTGTATAATACCTAATACAATATACATAGTTGTAAATACAATGTAAACGCTGTGTAAATAGTTGCTGATACACAGCAAATTCAAGTTTTGCGCCCTTTGGAACTTTCTGGATTTTTTTCGAAATATTTTCAGATCCTCTGTTGGTTGAATCCACAGCTGTGGAACCTGCAAGATGCAGGGGTCAACTGTAATCTCTTTGCTTATACCCCCAAACAAAAAATCTTAAAAGTATATGGCTTCAATCTCAAAATATGATACAAAATGTATCATTTCTCTGTTCTTAACCATGCCCGTTAGCTTTCTCGTTCTCTAAAAAAATAAAAATAGCATCAAACAATAAAGTAAAAAGCAATTTCTAGGGAAGTGAGGCTAGATCTTTAAATTACTGACAATCTCTCTCTGTGTGTACATTTGGGGAGAAACTAATAGTTCCATCTTTTTTATTTCCACATTCTTCTGCAAGAAAATATTGACAGACTGTAATGTTAAAGGAAAAAATAACTTAAGATGCAATCCATTTATCTCATACATAAATAAAATTTCCTTTGCCTTAGCAATAAAAATGAGATGGGAACTAAAGTAATTTACTTGCATTTTCTTCCAGAAGCCATTTCTTTATTTGGTAGATAAACAGATTATAACTAACATTTTTCACCTTACAAATCACCATAAAGAAAATTTGATCTCTTAATAAATCCAAGATTAAGATAATATTTGTGCTATCCAGAAATAAAACATTTTTTGATGAAAACCTACTACACCCTTGTGTATTTATAAAATCTGTTTTTTTTACGGAAAACAGTAACAAGAAATCTGAAGGTAAAAATCTAATCAAAAAGCCAATATACCAGAGTTCAGTGGTTATTTGTTCCCCGAAGCAGGCCAATATCAAACCAAATTTAATTTGTGTTGCTAAGAAGATGCTTAACTTCTTCTAAATTCAATTGGAATAACAATATTCTTTATGCAGTAAGCACCATTAAGCAAAATAAAGTGTTTTCCTTTGTAGACTCCCAAGAAGACCTTGAAGTAAAAGTGGTATAATTTGGAGTACTTAGAAGCCTAAAAATATTATTTACTGAGTCAGGCATTGAACTTATTTTTGATAGTTAAGTGGATAATCAAAACAGAATTAACACTTTTTATAATGAAGGTAAAGAAAATCTACTCTTTTTTTCTCAATTGAAACTACCCAGAAACCTCTAAACTAACACTTTTACTCATTCGAGAACATTCAGTAGGCTTAAAGTAAAGCATCAGTATTCCATAAACGTTTATTGAAACAAGAAAAGGAATGTTTATCAACTGATCCTTCACAATGCTTGTATCCTGAATGGACCACGACAGAGGGTTCCTTGCCTGCTCCCACCTGAATGACGGCGTTGCAGAACTCAAGGGAGTTCATGAACTGGACCAGAGGAGGGAGCAGGACCCAGTCGTCCTTCAGAAGGCAGTGCCATTCCTCGTCTTTCTCTTCCAGCTTGGCAGGCAGGGAAGAGTACAGACCACTGAGCCCGGTCGCAAGCACCTGTGTTCAGAAAGAAAAACGTAATAAACACTTTCCCCAGGTTCTTAACCTGCAACAAACAGCTCCCAGGTGATGCCACTGCCACTGGTCCAGACTGTACTTTAGGTAGCGAGGTATTCCAGCATCAGAGGCTGTCAGCTAGGAAGGATTCCACAGCTAGAGGCGGGAGGGAAGGACAACTCCAGCAGAGGGAACAGAAGCACCAGAGGTCTTCCGCTAATACCTACGCGATGATACAGTTTGTTTATCTCTTATGTGCCAGGCCTATGCTGGGCAGTGGTAAGGGGAGTGAGGGAGACACATGCAAGATGAAGAAAACATGGTTCCGGCACCCAAGGTATGCAGGAGAGGAGCGAACTCATAAACAGTGCGTTCTATTACACAACACTGAGTGCACACAGAGAGATGACCCACGCCCCCCCGTTCCATGGGGACACACCCTGGACTGAGGCGGCCCGGGACAGAAGATCTCACACGGGCAGCATGTAGCTTTATGAGAAAGATTCCTGCAGGCATGTTAAAGCTCATGACTGACACGTGCGTGCTTCCAGTTTAGAGAGTGCTTTCATCTCATCTCTACAAATTATAGCAAGAAGAAAGAACTGGGGTCACGGGTCAGTTAGATGGGACGACGATACTTCAAACAGAGCTAAAGCGGGTCTAAACTGAAGCATCAGCCATGGGAAAAAGAGGAGTAAAGAAAGGGGAGGATCACATGTAAGGTGGACATGAGGGTGATCTAACTATCATACCTACCTATCCAGTGTTAATCCAAAGCTCACAAGGTTTACTTTCTTCCCCTGCTCGGTTTCTAAATGACACTGACAGTGTTTGGGCTCAGTTAGTGACGGTGAGTGAGAACTCCAAACTGTCACTTTATCCAGCTTGGTCATTAAGAAAATGCTGATGCATTAAATTGAGACAGAAATATAGAAAAGGAACACACATGTTGACTGCCTATTAGTTTTATCTTGTGGAGAACAGGACCAAGGAAAACAATGAATTTCACAGTACGGGGAAGTGATGCTAGCCAAACAGCACCTTAGGGCTCCTGATCTGGTAGATGTGCAAAGGATGGACAGGAAGTGCCCTGAAAGAAACACAGAAGTGATGTATAAAAGGTGTTGCTCTAGGGTAAACCCTGAGGTTATAAGGAACTCAAATGGGACAGAAACATTCAAGAACACATTCCATTCTGAGTTAGGCCCAGAAAAGAAACAGCAAAGTATTCACTGATCTCACAGTCTAATAAGAGATGAACAGACAATTGTAACAGTGTAATAAATGCTCAAACTACATAATAGAAAATATGTCACCATGGATATACAAACCCAGACTTGGAGTGTTGGGAGCAGGAAATGTTCTCAGAAGAAGTGATGTTGGGCTCCCCTGGTGGCGCAGTGGTTAAGAATCCACCTGCCGGGCTTCCCTGGTGGCGCAGTGCTTGAGAGTCCGCCTGCCGATGCAGGAGACGCGGGTTCGTGCCCCGTTTCGGGAAGATCCCACATGCCGCGGAGCGGCTGGGCCCGTGAGCCACGGCCGCTGAGCCTGCGCGTCCGGAGCCTGTGCTCCGCAAATGGGAGAGGCCACAACAGTGAGAGGCCCGCATAACGCAAGAAAAAAAAAAAAAAAAGAATCCACCTGCCAATGCGGGGAACACGGGTTCGAGCCCTGGTCCGGGAAGATCCCACATGCTGCGGAGCAACTAAGCCCGCGCGCCACAACTACTAAAGCCCGTGGACCTAGAGCCCATGCTCTGCAACAAGAGAAGCCACCGCAATGAGAAGCCCACGCACCGCCATGAAGAGCAGTCCCCGCTCGCCACAACTAGAGAAAGCCCACGGCCAGCAACGAAGACCCAATGCAGCCAAAAATAAATAAATTAAATTAATTAATTTTTTAAAAAAGAAGTGATGTCTAAGCTGCTGAAGAATGAATAAGAGTTAGCCAGAAAAAGAATGTTGGAAAGAAGAATATTCCAAGCAGAGGATGTACAAAAGCTCAAAGGAGCAAGAAAACATGGCACCTTCTGGAACTTAGAGAAGTGCAGTATTACTGGAGCATATAGTTAGAGATGGGAGGAGCCTGGCAAGGTACGCTGGAGCCAGATCCTGCAGGGTTCTGTAGGACAGAATACAGAGCTGGAGCCCAGTGGAGAGTCCAGCAGACAGTGTGTGGGTCTGATGCCTACGAGAGGGATCTGGACTAGAGATGGAGCCCTGGAGCTGTCCACATGGCGATGAGACCCCAACCTATACAGACCAGAGAGAGAAGGGAAGGGAGGTTTAGACCGTGAGCTATATAACAAAATAATCCATAGTGCCTGGTGTTAGACACAGAAAGTCAGAAGGAGGTATAAGGACCTCCCTGGCAGTCCAGTGGTTAAGACTTCTTCCAGGGCCGGGGGTGCGGGTTCGATCCCTGGTCGGGGAGCTAGGATCCCACACGCCTCGGAGCCAAGAAAACCAAAACATAAAACAGAAGCACTATTGTAACAAACTCAATAAAGACTTTAAAAATGGTCCACATCAAAAATACTCCTTAGGGACTTCCCTGGTGGCACAGTGGTTAAGAATCTGCCAGCCAGTGCGGGGGACACGGGTTCGAGCCCTGGTCCGGGAAGATCCCACATGCTGCAGAGCAACTAAACCCGTGCGCCACAACTACTGAGCCTGCACTCTAGAGCCCGTGAGCCACAACTACTGAGCCCGAGTGCCACAGCTACTGAAGCCCACGTGCCTAGAGCCCGAGCTCCACACAAGAGAAGCCACCGCAATGAGAAGCCCGCGCACCACAATGAAGAGTAGCCCCTGCTCTCTGCACCTAGAGAAAGCCCGCACCCAGCAACGAAGACCCAACACAGCCAAAAATAAAATATAAATAAATTTATTTTAAAAAAAGGAGGTGTGGATCCCGGCATGCTGAACTTGGAAAAATTACCTACAAACTGTTGCCTCTCCTCCCCAGTCTCGATCCTAGAGCACCCTCTGGAGCTCCCTGTGCAGCAACTGTCCTCCGTGCATTTATTAATTTATCAGCCCTCTTCTCCATCTCACCTGGCCTGACGTGTTCATTCTCGCCCACACGGTAGATGTGGGTGACTTGCCCAGTCAGACCCTAGCAGTACTTCCCCTGAGTAACACATCCGTCAACAACAGAGGATGGGCCTGAGGATTGGTCACCTGGAGGTCTCAGTGCAGAGAAACCAGATGCCGCCAGGGGGCAAATGGGGGAGGGGCGGGATGGGGGAGGGGAGGGGATGGGGGCTATGAGCCCACAGTGGAGTGTGAGGGCAGCGAGAGAAAGAAACGAACCGTCTCAACAGTGGAGAAACAGAAAGGTTACATACATTTCTCTGTTCTATTTCCTAGTGACCTTGATTTACTCTTTCATTCACTGACTCATCTAAAAAAAAAAAAATCAGTGAGCACCTTCAGGCCAGGTACTACGTTAAGTACGGGACATACGATAGTAGACAAGATAATGCACGTATCTCTTTCAAAATCAGGGCATCTGTGGTCCCAGAGGAGAATGTCCCCGATTTAAAAGCATTTAACTCCTTGTCAGCAAACCCAAACAAATCACTTTAATTCCACTTTTGAATGTGACCCCAAGTGAGCTGTTTGTTATAAATTAGAAACCGCTGGCAAGAGAGAACAGAGACCAAAAGTTCTCCTTGAAGGGAAATCTAATCTTGATGCCACATTTTTAAAATCAATTACATTTGCTAACTCATGCTAAATTAACCACAGAACAAAGGCTTTAATTCTGCATACTCCTGATTCCTTAACCACTTTGAGGCTTTGAAAAAGAATTCATAAAGACAGCTTAATTTGTCTGACTAAGAAGCTGGGAATAACTATTCAGTATATCAGTATAATTACAGCAACATTAATTTTCAAATTACATACATCAGTAGCAGTAATTAAAAATAACACATACCTAATATTCACTTTTTTTTAAAAGAGTGTTCTGAAAAGGGCATGGCTGAGATGCGAACACGGCCCGCCTGTGCGGGAGGACAGTGCGGTGTGCCCGCTGGACACGCACTCCTGCCATGTGCTCGCCCCTGGAAGCAGAGGCAGAGAATGTTTCTGCAATGGTCTCCAGCGTAACGAAGAAACACAGAAGAAAACAGTCTGCACAATAAAGAGGACTACACGGGCTTAAGAGCAAGATTCCAAATCTTTACTGCTAAATATTTATCCTTTCCAAAACTTTGCTCAGAGTTCAGATTCCTTCATCCAATCCACATATAATTCTAGAAGACCAACGACAGGCCAGGCACCGTGTCAGGCCGGTGCTGGGGAAAGAGCATTGAGCGAGTCAGACTGGGTGAGATGGAGAAGACCACCAATCAACCAATAAATGCAAGAAAGACAATTACTTCAGGAATAGATGCAGGTGGTGCTGTGGGAACAGGAAGAGGGGAAAGGAGGGGCAACAACAGGTTTGCAGGTAATTCTTCGGAGAGTTTGATGGCACAATCTATTTACTTTCAAGTTTAATTTTTAACTTAAAAATGTAAGAATATATAGACATTCAACAGCGAATTTTTTTTAAATGCTCATCCACTCTTTTACTGATCCTGACCACAAAAAAAGTAACTGTAAAACATTATATTTATTCCCAACAGATTAACTTTTTTTTTTTTTTTTGGCCGTGCTGTGAGGCATGTGGGATCTTAGTTCCCCAACCAGGGACTGAACCCGTGCCCCCCTGCGTTGGGAGTGTGGAATCTTAACCACTGGACCGCCAGGGAAGTCCCATAACCCAATATTTTTAATTTATGTTTTCTCAAGAGTCTTAAAAAAAACAAATAACCATATAAAACCACAAGGATGACAGACAATTTAAAAAAGCAAACCACTTCCCTGATGGCAGTATAGCATGGTAATTGTTGAGAGCATGGATTTCAGTATCAGACTAACGTGGTTTTGAACCTGTCTCTGCCATTCACAGGCAGAAAGTCCCTGAAAGTTCAGTTTCTTCACTGAGCT